GTCTGCTCAAAGCTAGTGCACTAAAATTATTAGTGTAGTATGGACAGCAACTCAAGGTAGCCACTCAAGTTCTGACCCGGGGGTGGGGTGGGCTTGGACGTGGGTGGCTAACTTGAGCCGCCACGCATGACGCAATGTCCATGTTGCTATATTTAGCTCACTGGCTCCAGCAGAGCTAGCACAAGTCTGTCTACTTGGGCTGGAAGGCTCAATCTCATCTGCAGTGTAGACATACCCTCAATGTCCAGACATAAGGCACCATTATCACTATACTCTGGCTGTATCCCTTTGTGCTAGACTAGTGCAGGCTGTATGGTACATTTCACTTCTAGCTGTGAGTTTCCTCCGTTTTATTGCTTCCTGTCAAAATCCTGAATGTTCAGCATGAGGACCTTCATGCTTTTGGAATTCCTGTTTTATTGGGCAGCAGTATCATTTCCTAAGATTAATTTTCCACCGAGAAAGGAGCCATGAAAAGGGACAACTTTGCACGGTTTAAATGAAGGTTTTTGGTAGGTGATTTATTTTAAACATAACACAGTTCAGCCATGTGTTCTGGACACACAGATCGTTGTAAAGTAATTTGCAGATTAGGGAGCAACCCTGAGATGTGAATTCTTAGCTCTTAAACTCAAGCAAAAGACGCCTTCATGTGCTTCAGGACCTGGCAAACAAACCCCCATGTTTTGAACTTTATTACAGTTTTCTGACCCCTTATTACTATTTTAAAAATTTAACTCAAGAGGGTTCCGTTCTCACGTCCCCAGCATGGCAAGGGAGCAGGAATATAGGTCTCAAAAGCTGATGGATGGGAGTGGAACCTACATTGCATGTTACCCTCTTCCACTTCAACGGCAGAAGCATATGCCAGCCCCATGAACAGCACCCTGCAGAAGCTCTCTGAGTTTGAGGGATAGTGTAGGGCTGCTGGGAGGGACAAAGCTGGGAAATCTTCAGATACAAGGTGAAGAAACCAGATTGAACTCCAGATCTCCAGGTTCATCATGAGTTCCTGTCCACATCCCCTGTCCTCTCCACATTACCCAAAACTCCTCCTCAAGTGGAGTAAAACTCCAACTTGGAGAATTCAAACTCACCAAGGCTATGGAGTATGTTTCCCTGGGAGGGGGGAGGATTTGGCTCAGAAAGCTTCCTCTCAAAGTGGGTGTCATAACTATAAAGGGAAGGGTAACAACCCTCCTGTATACAATACTATAAAATCCCTCCTGGCCAGCGGCACCAAAATCCTTTTACCTGTAAAGGGTTAAGAAGCTCAGGTAACCTGGCTGACACCTGTCCCAAAGGACCAATCAGGTGACAAGATACTTTCAAATCTTGGGGGTGGGGGGAAAGGCTTTTGTTTGTGCTCTTTGTTTTGGGTGTTTTCGCTCTTGGGACTAAGAGGGACCGGACATCAATACATGTTTTCCAAATCTTTCTGCACAAGTCTCTCGTATTTCAAACTTGTAAGTAACAGTCAGGCAAGGTGTATTAGTTTAACTTTGTTTTCTCAACTTGTGAAATTTTTCCTTTGCTAGAGGGAAGTTTACCTCTGTTTTGTTGTAACTTTGAACTAAGGCTAGAGGGGGTTCCTCTGGGCTCTTTGAATCTGATTACCCTGTAAAGTTATTTTCCATCCTGATTTTACAGAGATGATTTTTACCTTTTCTTTTTAATAAAATCTTTCTTTTAAGAACCGGACTGATTTTTCCATTGTCCAAAGACGCAGGGGTTTGGGTCTTTGCTCACTTTGTAAAATTGGTTTAGATATTATTTTCAAGCCTCTCCAGGAAAAGGGGTGTAAGGGCTTGGGGGGATATTTTGGGGGAAGAGGAACTCCAAGTGATCCTTTCCCTGTTTCTGATTAAAGCTCTTGGTGGTGGTAGAGTACCAGGTTTTAACCTAAGCGGGTGGAAATAAGCTTAGGGGGTTTTCATGCGGGTCCCCACATCTGTACCCTAGAGTTCAGAGTGGGGAAGGAACCCTGACAGTGGGTTAGAAGAAAGAACCCATATTTTGAATGAGCAAGATGCATTAGCCTACCAAAAGAGAGATCGAAAGGGTATATGATTAGTCTCTATCAATACATCGGGGGATAAACACCACAGAGGAAGAAGAGCTATTTAAACTTGAGGACAACATTGGCAGAAAAAGCAAATGGCTATAAACTGGCCTTGAATAAATCCACACTGGAAATTAGAAGAAGGTTTCTAACCATCAGTAGAAGAAGGTTTCTAACCATCAGAGAAGTGAAGTTCTGGCACAGCCTTGCAATCGGAGTTGTGGGGGAAAACAACTGAAGCTAGTTTTAAGATAGAGCTTGATAAGTTTATGAACATGATTATAGGATGGGGTTGCCTGCCATGGCAGAGCACTGGTGACTCGATGACCCAGGAGATCCCTTCCAGACCTGTGTCCCTACTCTGACTTTGGTATATTTTATAACTTTTTTCTTTTTTTCTCAGCCGATGCCATATACTTTATATCAGTGGTTCTCAAACTTTTGTACTGGTGATCCCTTTCATATAGCGAGCCTTTGAGTGCGACCCCCTCCCCTTATAAATTAAAAGTTCTTTTTATATATTTAACACTGTTATAAATGCTGGAGGCAAAGCGGGATTTGGGATGCAGGCTGACAGCTCACAACCCCCCATGTAATAACCTTGCAACCTCCTGAGGGGTCCTGACCCCCAGTTTGAGAACCCCTGCTTTATACAGTTCTGTGTAAGAGAATTGAAAGCAGACCGTTGAGTAGAATTTCTTGTCTCCCATCAAATTTAAGTCATTTAAGGCAGGAGTTTTTATGCAAAATTCCTTACACAGTTCAATGAAGAGCTCTGCTTAGAAAACTAAGGCATGATACTGTCCTATGCCATGAGACAGTGACCCAAAAGCACTTTCTCGAAACTATCACAAAATCAGTGTTTCCCAAAGTTACTTTTGTTATCTGGGAACTATCAGTAACCACGTGGTTATATGTAAAGGAGTTAAAGGCTATAAGTGATCTCAAAGTATGAAGGAAGCTTCAGAATGAAATCCTGATCCTATTTACAGTCAAATGCCGTTTTGCCACTGATTTAAATGAAGCCAGAATATCACTCACAGGGTGAACTCCCATTAGCTTCAATAGGGCCAGGATTTCACCCATGAGATTTTAAAGCCGCCTACTTCGGTGTGATGTCAAACCATGATCAATCTAGAGTGGCTGTCATTAGGACTGGATGCCACACAATATTTTCCAATACAAAAGAAAGGCCAATTCACTCGATAACTTCTAAAACACTGATAGCTCTAAGATGTAGGACTTCTCTTTCTGGGACCCATGAGAAGAAAGCTAAACACAGAATATACAGCTCTAATAATAATACTGTAGTTTTACACAGTGCTTTCAATCAGCTCTCAAAGGGCTTTCCGAAAGAGGGATGTATCATTATTCCCATTTTACAGATGGGCAAACTGAGGCACAGAGTGATGCAGTACATGCCCAAGGTACCCCAGCGGGGCCAGTGGCAGAGCCTTGAAAAGAAAGCAGGTCTCCGGAGTCCCAGCCCATGCCAGATTCAGTTGTTTTGTTACATAGCTTATTCCTGGGGGAATTCTGCAGCAAAAAATTAAAAATTCTGCACACAATATTTGAAAATTCAGCAAAATTCTGCATATTTTCTTTGTCAAAAATACACAATATAATCATGCCAGTTTCAATTATTTTGCTAATTTATTTCAAAATATGTCAGCAAGTATGTTTGTAACAATACAGACCCCCCAAAAATATTCTGGTAATTTTTTTTGACAAATAAATTCCTTACTAGGCATATTAATACAGAACTTTGTGCAATTCATTTAAATGACAATACATCAATCTATCAGTACATCGGGGGATAAACACCCCAGCAGGAGAAGAGCTATTTAAACGTAAGGACAACGTTTGGCCGAAAAAACAAATGGCTATAAACTGGCCCTGAATAAATCCACACTGGAAATTAGAAGAAGGTTTCTAACCATCAGAGAAGTGAGGTTCTGGCACAGTCTTGCAATCGGAGTGGGGAGGAGGGGGAGAAGTGTATTTCCTGCACCTGTCAGATGCAGTGCGAATGCTTGGGGGAGTCAGGGGTAACGCAGGAGCTGAGGGAGAGGAAAGGAGCCTACCAGTGAACTTGGAGGGTGTTGGGTGTGGGAGGGAGGTTTTTCTTTTTTGGGGGGGGGATTATTAGGGTGATGAGAAGCCTCCCCCATGCAGACACTGGCTGACCCCAAGTCTCTCCCATTCAGTCAGGCACCTCTGCCCCTGTCCCCGCACCCTTCATCCCCACAGGTCTCTGCAGCCGCCCTCCCATATCCCCAAGCTCAACGCTGTCACCCCACTAGCTCCTGACCCAATGCTCCAGTCTGTCCCCCACTAGCCATTCTGAACCCCAGTGTGTGACACCCCCCTCCCCCAGCAGCCCTGTTTTCCCCCTCCTTATCCTAATCTGGCTCAGCGGGCAGGGTGCTGTGATGAGCTCTACTCCTGCAGGGGGAATTCTGCAGCCCTGGGCATAGAATTTTGTATTTTCCCGAATAAAATACTGTACATTTTGCCTAAGTGCCGCAGTTCCGGCTTTTTCCCACCAGAGGCCGCTGTGGCGCTAGAACAGTCGGCATGAACGCCGCTGGCTGTTCTGGCCCTACAGCGGCCTCTGGTGGGCACGTCGCGAAACTGCAGCACTTAGGCAAAATGTTTTTTATGCAGGAAAATACAAAATTATGCGAGACAGATTAATTCTGCGCGTCCGCGGATGCGCTGAGTTCCCCTAGGCGTAATAGCCTGTAATGGCTGAGAGTGAGGAATTTTGAACACAAAGGGCATTAAGACTCAGCGATCAGAATCAGTGTTATGTGTATATTATTAAGCCAATGATTGGAAAAAAAGGGGAGATCAAACTTTGTTGCAAAACAGGTATTGCATGATTAACTAAGATATCACTCTGAAACCTAAGATATCAGACAGACGCCAGGAATGGTTTGTTCCACACAAATGTTTAAACAAGAGCAAACTGTGCATTACGGTTTTTCCTGCTTAGAGATTTTTATGTTTTTAATGGCTAAAGCCTTTCTAACTAGCATTTACTACAATGATTTACTCATTCAAGATCAGAGTGGAAAGGTTCCAATTTCTAAATGTTACCCAATCTCAAAACCTTGATTCATGTCTGTGTCTTTGTTTAGCCAGGTTTTGATTGATAAATAAAGAATTTCCGTGGTTTATAATCTTCTAAAAAGTAACTGATTTTAAAAGTTGTCCAACAATGAATTATAAAGAGCTAACATATTTCTAAGTATGTGATAGACAGTTAGTGCACAATAATATATACTTAAATAATGTACAATGTATTCACAGCTCACAGTAGCAAATGTATTGTACTTTCCCCCTTACTCCCCCCGCCCCCAAAGCCATTTACTAAACAATTGTCTATTTGCTATTGTGTGCAGGTTTTAAAATACAATGCTTTTGCCTTGGATGCTGAATACTTACACTAACTGTTAAGTAATCTATTCTTAAAAGTACATGGACGGATAATTTTTTTTAAAAATTGACTGTTACAACAAGCCAAGCATAATGAAAAATAAATGTCCCTTATATAAAAGTTGCCAAATTTACTATCAATGGATTTCTGCACAGGCACTTAAGCCCCTCTAATGAAACAGGCAGACGTTACAAGAGAACTTTATTCCTGGGGGAACTAGATAATTTGAGAATTTGGTGATGGGCTACAAAGCTTTTTAGCAGTTGACATAACTAGTCTGGGCCACACACTTTACCACCTGATGTAGTGTTGGTGACCTATTTCAAAGGGATTGCTTATCTGTGCGGTGATCTCAGCTTGGTTTCTAATGGACAGGTATCCATATCAGAAAAAAAAACATCATCTTTGGCTCTAAGGGTACGTCCAGACTACCCGCCGTATCAATGGGTAGTGATTGATTTATTGGGGATTGATATATTGCATCTCATTAAGACGTGATATATCGATCCCTGAACGTGCTCCCTGTTGACTCCGGAACTCCACCGGAGCGAGCGGCGGTAGCGGAGTCGATGGGGGAGCCGCAGCCGTCGATCCCGCGCCGTGAGGATGGGAGGTAAGTTGGTATAAGATATCTCAACTTCTGCTACGGTATTCCCATAGCTGAAGTTGTGTATCTTACATCGACACAGCCCCTCCCTTCCCCCCAGTGTAGACCAGGCCTAATAGTCTCCTAGCTGGCATTCTGAGCATAGAAACTAAAAATGAATATGCAGGAGGCTGTACTACCCTCTTAACCCTACAGGTGGCACTCCCACCTAAACTGGTGTTAAGATACATTGACAAGACTTAAACTGCAGCTGCACCGTGCATCTGTTCTGCAGATACATGGGACTTCACTTTATAGGGCTTCAGTCCAGGATCTTTCACAAGAATTATACTAATAAATAACACTGCATTTCTACTGTTTTATGGCATATTATAACCATTCAGTGCTGTGAATAGAATGCAGATTTTTTCTAAGAGATTTTTGTATTCTTAGATATAAACCATAAACTTTCTACTAGAAATATTGGTATGACTATTTAATATTTGCACTTAGCGTTGTAGGTTTGAAGTGCTGTCATAGTCTTTTACTTTTTCTGGTTCTGCTTCTGGTACAATTGTAGACAGACTAACAAATCTGGGTAGTTTACCACAAAATGTTCTGTGCCCATTTTGTAGTGACTTCTAGGGATAAAGAAATCAAGGAGATTGTCGGAGGGATTGTCAAGGATCATCTGGTCCTCTGACTACTACCCCATGCAACTCATCCATGTGGGCACTAATGATACTGCGAGGTATGACCCTCAGCAGATCAGAAGTGACTACAGGGCTCTGGGAGTAAGGGTGAAGGAGTTTGGAGTGCAGGTGGTGTTCTCTTCAGTCCTTCTGGTCAAGGGTTGGGGCCCAGGCAGAGACAGATGCATCCTGGAGGTGAATGCCTGGCTGCGAGAATGGTGTCACCAGAAGAGCTTCGGCTTCCTTGACCACAGGATGCTGTTCCAGGAAGAAGGACTGCTAAGCAGAGATGGGGTCCACCTATCGGGGAAGGGGAAGAGCATATTTGAATACACACTGACTAACCTCATGAGGAGGGCTTTAAACTAGGTTCAAAGGGGGCAGGTGACCAAAGCCCACAGGTAAGTCAAAAACATGGAGATCTGGGAGAAGGGTCGGAATTTGGGGGGAGCATGGGCTGTTATAGCAGGGATAAAGGAGAGACAAGACAGAACGGGGGGGGGATCAAATCAGTATCTTACATATCTGTATACTAATGTGAGTAGTATGGGGAATAAGCAGAAAAACTTAAAATGCTAGTAAATAAATACAACAATGACATAGTTGGCATCACAGAGACTTGGTGGGATAATACGCATGACTGGAATATTGGTATGGAAAGGTACAGATTGCTAAGAAAGGACAGGTGGGGGAAAAGGGAGAAGGTGTTGCCTTATATATTAAAAATGTATACACTTGGTCTGAGGTTGAGATGGAAATAGGAGACAGACTTGCTGAAAGTCTCCAGGTAAGGATAAAAGGGGTAAAAAACAGGGGTGATGGCATGGTCGCGGTCTACTCCAGACCACCTAACAGGAAGAAGAGGTGGATGAGGCTTTTTTTAAACAATTAACAAAATCATCCAAAGCACAGGACTTGGTGGTGATGGGGGACTTCAACTATTCAGATATCTGTTGGGAAAATAACACAGCAGGGCACAGATTATCCAACAAGTTCTTGGAATGTATGGGAGACACATTTTTATTTCAGAAGGTGGGAAAGCTACTAGGGGAGAGGCTGTTCTAGATTTGATTTAGACAAATAGGGAGGAACTGGTTAAGAATTTGAAAGTGGAAGGCAGCTTGGGTGAAAGTGATTATGAAATGATAGAGTTCATGATTCAAAGGAATGGTAAGAGGGAGAACAGCAAAATAAAGAAAATGGATTTCAAGAAGACAGACTTTAGTAAACTTAAGGAGTTGGTAGGTAAGATCCCATGGGAAGCAAGTCTAAGGGAAAAAACAATTGAAGACTGTTGGCAGTTTTTCAAAGAGACATTATTAAGGGCACAAGAGCAAATGATCCCACTGCGTAGGAAAGATAGGAAGTATGGCAAGAGACCACCCTGGTTTAACCAGGAGATCTTCAGTGATCTAAAAATCAAAAAAGAGTCCTACAAAAAGTGGAAACTAGGTCAAATTAAAAGGATGAATAGAAACAAGTAACACAAGTATGTAGGGACAAAATTAGAAAGGCCAAGGCACAAAACGAGATCAAACTAGCTAGAGACATAAAGGGTAACAAGAAAACATTCTACAAATACATTAGAAGCAAGAGGAAGAGCAAGGACAGTGTAGGCCTGTTACTTGTGTGTGGGGGGAATAATAACAGAAAATGTGGAAATGGCAGAGGTATTAATGACTTCTTTGTTTCAGTTTTCACCAAGAAGGTTGGTGGTGATTGGACAGCTAATGTAGTGAATGCCAGTGAAAATGAGGTAGGATTAGAGGCTAAAATAGGAAAAGAACAAATTAAAAATTACTTAGAAAAATTAGATGTCTTCAAGTCACCAGGGCCTGATGACATGCATCCTAGAATACTCAAGGAGCTGACTGAGGAGACATCTGAGTCATTAGCGATTATCTTTGAGAAGTCATGGAAGAAGGGACAGATTCAAGAAGACTGGAAAAGGGTAAATATAGTGCCCATCTATATAAAGGGAAATAAGGACAACCCAGGGAATTACAGACCAGTCAGCTTAACTTCTGTACCCGGAAAGATAATGGAGCAAATAATGAAGCAATCAATTTGCAAACATTTAGAAGAAAATAAGGTGATAAGGTTAACGTATAAAGGTTGCGGACGATACCAAGATGGGAGGGGTTGAAAGTGCTTTGGAGGATAGGATTAAAATTCAAAATAATCCGGACAAACTGGAGAAATGGTCTTAAGTAAATAGGATGAAATTCAATAAGGACAAATGCAAAGTACTCCGCTTAGGAAGAAACAATCAGTTGCACACATACAAAATGGAAAATGACTGCCTAGGAAGGAGTACTGCGGAAAGGGATCTGGGAGTCACAGTGTTGCTAAACATGAGTCAACAGTGTAACACTGTTGCAAAAAAAGCAAACATCACAAACATCATTCTGGGATGTATTACCGGGAGTGTTGTAAGCAAGACATGAGACGTAACTCTTCTGCTCTACTCCGTGCTGATTAGATCTCAACTGGAGTATTGTGTGTGTCCAGTTCTAGGAACCACATTTCAGGAAAGATGTGGACAAATTGGAGGAAGTCCAAAGAGCAACAAAAATGATTAAAGGTCTAGAAAACATGACCTATGAGGGAAGATTGAAAAAAATTGGGTTTGTTCAGTCTGGAAAAGAGAAGACTGAGAGAGGGGACATGATAATAGTTTTCAAGTACATAAAAGATTGTTACAAGGAGGAGGGAGAAGAATTGTTCTTCTTAGCTTCTGAGGATAGGACAAGAAGCAATGGGCTTAAATTGCAGCAAGGAAGGTTTAAAGGTTGGGCATTAGGAAAAACTTCCTAACTGTCAGGGTGGTTAAGCACTGGAATAAATTGTCTAGGGAAGTTGTGGAATCTCCATCATTGGAGATTTTTAAGAGCAGGTTAGACGAATACCTGTCAAGAATGGTCTAGATAATAACTAGTCCTGCCATGAGTGCAGGGGACTGGACTAGATGACCTCTCGACATCCCTTCCAGTCCTATGATTCTATGAAACTCTCTCTCCAAATATCTATTTTGCCAGTCCAATGCACTCTGCTTTGCTCAATATAGTAACCAATTATCAAACTTCTCGAGGTCCCTTTCAATCCTATGATTCTATGATATAGCTTGAGTTTCCAAGACAGACCTGTCACATACATGCATTTATAACAACAGAGATGTCACTGCAAAACTCCACAGCCTGGAAACTGGAGAGCTGAAGGTTGAAAGACGCTGGCTCCTCGTGAAAACTCACCTTTCCCCCGGAGTGCGTCTGTAACTACGTGAGCTGATCTAGCTGGGCTCCTTTGTCCCCCACGTCCCTGGTGCATTGAAAGTGCTCTTCAGTGAATTGGGAGCTGGCAGGAACGGATGGCTCCTTCAACCTAGAGCCAGAATTAGGAATAAGCTGCCCAGTTGCATCTCTAGAAGTACAGAAATGATGCATGTTATGCCACAGTGGTAGAGAAGACAAGGAGTAAGACTGCCTTTCTGTCATGAATACTACATTCTCAAAATGTATGTATATCTCTCAGTGCAAGTCAGGCTAGATCAGTGGTTCTCAGCCTATTTACCATTGTGGGCTGCATGCACACTATATACTACCTATATGGCCCTGAGGATGTTACATGAGCCGCAGCTGTGTGCTGATTGGGCCACGGGTTGAGAACCACTGGTCTAGATGACCATGATGGTCCCTTCTGGCCTTAAAGTCTATGAGTCTAATGAGCTATCTGGTTACCTGGCAACAGTCTTAGACCACAATTTTCAAAACTAACTAATGTTCCATCGGAGTCCAGTTTTAGATACCTTAAATGAGTCCAATTTTCAGAAAGTGCTGAGCACCCATCCTCTGAACATCACGACCCTTTAAGAGGTTTGAAGTTGAGTCCCACGAATCATTACTAATTTTGGAAAAACTTGGGCTTAATCTTTTACTGGATTCTCTAGTGAATCAGAAGTAATCATACTTCTCAGCACAGCCGAGTGAACAATTTGCAGTGAAAGATGTATTTGGTGACTGTAGCCTTTCCTCCTGTTCACAAGTTGTGACAATTTGAGTAATCTGTCTATGTACAGTTTATGAATTCTGGTTAATTTTATACAATTGCTGTATCATCAAAGGCCTCACTGTGTAGTGAGTCAACCGTGGGCTGATAGGGTCCTTGATATATCACAGAATAAACAAAAAGAAGTCATTAACCGTAACAGCTGGGCTCTGGCTGAACAGTGGGTATGCTAAGCGGGACGCCTGAGCTGGAAAACGCATTCAACCAAGTTTATCTTCAGGGGAGCGGAGAATGGAAAATCTCCCAACAGGAAAACACAGAAACCCGGGGCTACTGCTCACATTTAAAAACTCAGAGGGACTCAGAGAAAAGGAAATCTTAGGCAGGAGAGGAACAGACGAGCATGCTTTCATAGCAGAGGGGGTCTTCTTTGACTGTGGGACTAGCCAAGCCAAAGGAAGCTGGTTGGAAAAGTGGGAGACTCCATGTTCTAGAGGAGGAGCCAAAACAAGAGAGGTGCAGGAAAGGTGGACTTGGGATCCTGAAAGGACATTGCTCCAAATCCTGAAGAACACTCCAGAATGGTAAGGAAACTGAGGCAGGGATGGGATAGAGATGTTGTATTCTTTAATATAGACCTATATATTTCTTGTGCTGTCTCAAGTAAAGAGTAATTGTTTTAAAATCCCTTTTGCAGAATCTGGTGTTATGTGCTTTATCTATGATGTGTCCCTGGAGAAGTAAACTGTAATCCAGAGTGACCCCAAGGCTGGAGCTGTAAGAAAGGATGTGTGCTTAAGCAACTGTGGATTCTGGGGGAGCTGGCATAAGTCACTGGGTCTAGGCATTTGGAGCCCAGGGTCTCAGCTCTCAGAAGGCGGTGTTAAATGGAGGAGCTGCACCCCAAGAGTGTGCCTCAAGACCCAAACCAGAGGCAGTGCCACACAGCATGTGGGCCCAAAACAACAGCCTGGTGAATGGCCAGCAGGGGGAGCTTTACCAGGGCTGTGTCCAAAGTTACCCCTGAACAAACGATGAGTTTATTCATACTTTGTCTGCTACTTGCAGTTGTTTGACAAATCTTTTGGCTGAACAAATTTCAGCCTTGAGAGGCTAAAGTGCTGTTTGTGAATGGATAATGCTTGTGATTCATTATTTACATAATGTGACAGGCCACCCAATTTGACATAGACTCATTCATTTCCCCAGAGTGGATGGGCTTCCAACTCACAAAGCCAGCAGGAGATTCAAAGATGGCTGCACAAGCCCTTGTGATGCACACATAGACACAAGAATACATGCATAAGTATTCAGGACAGTTTTGCTTTGGAACAAATGGTGCTTATGCAAACGTTCACAGAAAGCAAACAGCAAATGCCACGGCTGGCAATTCAGATGCGTGCCTTTTGTTCGAAAGCATATTTGTTTGCTGTCTCCACTCAGCTCTCAGCATAAGGATAATTTCTCTACTCCTGTATACCAGGATCTCACCTGTAATAAAATTCAACCAAGCCCCAGCCTGGGACTGTCCGATTCAGTTGGAAATCAGCAATGCACTCATGGAATACTCCTGTTCCGGTTAAACCATTATATACTACAGGGCGTGCCTGCTTGTCGAGTCTAGCACAAACCTCAAAGCACTGGCCACCTTTGGAAGGGAAAATGTAGGCAGGTTTCCTTGACGATATGACAGAGTACTTAGTCGAGATGAAACAAGCAAGAGCTTTATGTGGATTTCATACAGTTCCCCCACCCCTAAACCTTTCTTTTTTTAAACATTTCTAAGTATTTTGTGTACATTTTGAACATTTTTTCTAAAGCTTCTTTGGCCCTCCACCATTCTAGGTGTTTTCAAGCAGCTGGTTCCCAAGCCAAACTGGGAGCTTTGACCAGAGGAGACTGGAAATTTCAGCACTCATTTCCCAGCTAGTTAAACCTGAGCAACACAGGGATGTTCAGCACAATTGGGGATTTGAAATCCTCTGACTGATACAGCTACCTGAGGCTCCTGGCCGCCAAAGAATTACACATGTGCTTATACTTAAGCACTCCAATAGCCTCACTGAAGTCAATGAGACTACGCCAGTGGTTCCCAAACTTATTCCACCACTTGTGTAGGGAAAGCCCCTGGCGGGCCGGGCCGGTTTGTTTACCTGCCGCGTCCGCAGGTTCGGCCGATCGCGGCTCCCAGTGGCTGCGGTTTGCTGCTCCAGGCCAATGGGGGCTGCGGGAAGCGGCGCGGGCCGAGGGACGTACTGGCCGCTGCTTCCCGCAGCCCCCATTGGCCCGGGACGACGAACCGCAGCCAGTGGGGGCCGCGATCGGCCGAACCTGCCGCGTCAGCAGATAAATAAACTGGCCCAGCCCGCCAGGCTGCTTACCCTGGCGAGCCGCATGCCAAACGTTGCCGACCCCTGCCCTAGAGACTTTGTTTTTCTGACCATATGTCTGGTTGCTCTGACTCAAGGCCCTGACTCCTAGAACACTTTAGAAGCACTAGGAACTCTGCTGGCTGGGTTGGTTTGGAGAGGGGACATGCTTGTTAGGTTTTTTTTTTGGTCTCCCCCTCCTTGTATTCTGTACATGAGATCTCTGGAAAATACGGCAATCAAATAGAGCATCTTGCAAAATTCCCCTTGCTCGTACCTGTCTTATAATTCAGTGAAATTATTTCCTAGACTCTAAAGCATTTTGATTAGTCCTGAAAAAAACTGAAGATGACCTGACTTCCTTTCACTTACCTGCAGTGAAACTGACTTGGTATAAATCTCTGATAATACCATCATCTGCCATTTCAGCCAGTGAGCCATTGGACCAGTCAATGCCAGCCTTCTTCCCATCGGGGAAAAGAACATAACCTACAGTGAGACTGAGAAAAACAAAAAGCAGAACAGGGCTGGTGCAGGTCACTGTTTCCAATGCTCAATTAAAACGAACAACTTCTTTCATGGAACAGAATGCTGGCCCTTTAAGGGAGGCTACCGGCAGGTACCACCCTAATTCTGATTCAGCACAGAACTGAGGATGTGTGGTTCCCGGAGGACCCCTGGGAACTGTAGATGGGTGATAATGCATGCTGGGAAAGGGAGCAAGGAAACTAAAGATCTCTTTGCTCTCTAGTAACAAAGAGTAGGCAAGAGGCAAGACTTACAATGAGGCTCTTGAGAGGACGACAGTGAAGGGATGTAAGAGAGCCAATTGGATAGAAGGGTCAGCAGTCAAAAAGGCTGACAATGTTAGGCGCTATTAGAAGATATAGAAAATAAGACAGAAAATACCATAATGCCACTATATAAATCCATGGTGTTCCCCCACCTTGAATACTCTGTCCAGATCTGGCCACCCCATCTCAAAAAGTGGAACAGGAAAAGGTTCGGAGAAAGGCAACAAAGATGATCACGGGTATGGAATGGCTCCATATGATGAGAGATTAAAGAGATTAGGGCTGTTTAGTTTAGAAAATAAACGATTAAGGGATATAATAGAGGTCTATAAAATCATGAATGGTGTGGAAAAAGTGAATAGATAACAGCACAAAAACTAGGTGTCACACAATGTAATTAATAGGCAGCAGGTTTAATGCAAACAAGACAAAATACTTTTTCAAACAATGTACAAATAACCTGTGGAACTCATTGCCAGGGGATGTTGTGGAGGCCAAAAGTATAAATGGATTCAAAAAGGAACTAGCTAAGTTCATGGAGAATAAGTCCATCAAAGGCTGTTAGCCAAGATAGTCAGGGATGCAACCCCATGCTCAGGCAGACCCTGAATCTCTGATTGCCAGAAGCCAAGAGGGGAAGACAGGGCTGGATCTCTCCAGAATTACTCTGTTCTGTACATGGCCTCTGAGGCTCTGGTACTAGCCATTGTCAAAGACAGGATATTGCGCTAGATGGACCACTAGTCTGACCCAGTATGGCAGTTCTTATGAACCTCAGGGAAGGGGATTTTTTATGGATTTTACTACAGAGCTAGGGGGCTGGCTAGAAAGGGTTGTGAAGAACCTGAGAAAAGATGATGTTAGGCTAAAAATCCAGAAGTCACCAAATCCAGGAAGGGGAGTTCTAAAGTTTGAGTCTAAATATTGCAAGAGGATACTTGTTGAAAACATACTCGCTAGCCCATTTCACTGGAAACTTTAAACCGCCTGCCTTTAAGCTGTAAACTGATTCCTCGATGTAAAAAGACGGGGACTCCTGGATTTATTTCCCCACAATGACTCCTGATTTGTTTGTGTCCTCTGGGCAAGTCACTTAACCACTCCATTTCAATTTGCCCATCAGTAAAATGGTTATAATGTATCCTGACTCATGAAGTTGATGTGAGATTGGATGAATGTTAGGAAAGTGCTTTGAGATTTCAGATGCTATATAAGTACTTTCTTGTTAATAGCTACGTCAGTATCACAGACTACAAAAGGCTAGATTTTAAATGCTTGCCTCCAATCTTTCACTTGCAAGTGCACATAAAATAACTTGGATCTCTGGAAGTGCTCAGTTGGTGCCTGTAAATCATATACTTAGACAGTTGAATGATCTAAACAGAGATTGCAAATAACTGAAGGTGAAAGCTGGACCCATGATTATTTGCAACCACAAAACTATGGAGGCAAAAACCAAGGTCCGGCTGTGGTCTGGAAGAAAACCTGGCCATCCCAGTGCAGAAGAAGGCAGGTATAAGTTCCACAGACTGCTTGAACTTACTGTGTTGTAGTTGCTGGTACACAAACAATAGTTAAGTGTGCTGACATCCCATCCTGTAAGAAAAAGAGCAGAGCTGGGAAAGTATTCTCATTGCTTGGAGCAGATGAGACACCTGAGTTTATGATGCTATCAATCAAAATAATTCCTATTGGACACTTTCTTCCAGAAAGCCACCGATCTCCTAAAATGAGAGATTCCAGAGAAGACCAGGCTTATGTAGCATTTTACTATGGCATGTTGCCAAACTTTCTTGCTATATCAACTTAAGTACTAGACATTTTATATTTCCCATGAAGAGCATTCAGTAAATGTGAGGCAGACAATTCCAACCAGACACATTAAGGACTAACCTTGATGCAGCTGTGATGTTTAATGGCTGTATGTGTTTTCAGAGAGAGGCTGTTTTGGCACAGCATAATGGCATTGCATGGAAGAAGCCATGGAGATGAATGGGAGAAGGAGACCCAAAGGGAGCATAGAAGGACCACGCAGCCAGCAGTAGCAATACGATGAGCACAGGCAGTAGCAGCAGTAAGAAATGAAAGCCGACACAGAGGTAAGGGCTAGAAGTGTCTGAGAACAGTACACAGGAAAAATGTTAAATAAAGAAGCAAATGCACCTTCATTCTTTTCATACTTGCCCCTACCTTGATTCTAAGGCTCTAGAGTGTGTTCCTTTCCTGCCATTGTCGTGTAAATTTCAGCCCATTGTGAGTTGCATATACACACAAAGGAAGGTTTCAGAGTAGCAGCCGTGTTAGTCTGTATCCGCAAAAAGAACAGGAGTACTTGTGGCACAGTATGGGTATGCCAACTCTCTACCAGTCAAACACTTACTCCTTCCCATCAAAGCAAACATGTGGATGGCTTCTAATCAAAAGGTGGAAATCATTTTAACTTGTGAGGTTATGTGTACACTGCAAAAAACAGACCCAGTCTCAGAGCCCAGCTCAACTGCCTTGGGCTCACGCTATGAGGCTGGAGCCTGGCTTCTGAGACCCTCGCCTGGTTTCAGAGTGTGAACTCCTGCCCGAGTAGGAATGGCTACACCGCTATTTTAAGCCCCATAGCATGAGACAGTTGCTCCGGGCTCTGAGACTCGCTGCCAGAAGGATGGGGAGGTGTTCACTGTAGACATACGCTCCGTAACTGTAAACAAACTGCTGTGAGGGTATCACCTGGTGATAAGAATTGTATACTCCAGTGGCTCAGTCCTACCCTATGACACATCTGCACAATGCTGCATGTTTAATCAAGGCAGCTGCATTCATGCATACAAGATTTTACAAGGCATGCAGCGATGTTGGCCACGTAAGATTGAGCCCTCTCATTCTGTTTCTTTGCTTGGGAGTTTCTCTCTTGAAATGCTGACATTTTGGAATTCCCTACACCTGTATCAACACAGGAAATGCCTTCTAAGAAGCCTTTGCCTGGCAAGATGCCCAAGTTTGGATTCCCCTCGTGAATAATTCCACCAGCCCAGCTGCTCATACCAGGATGTTTCCGCATATTCCTTCAGCATAGCCACAAAAATGTATCATGGGAAAGAAACAATATGGAAAGATTTGCAGAAACTTTCATTTTAGAGCTGACTTAGAACATTGCAAACCCTCAGCTGGTCTAAATCAGGGTAGCTCCAAGTCCATTGACGTCAAAGGAGCTGTGCCAATTTACAGGAGCTGAGAATCTGTCCCCAGAAGTGATGAACTGTCACCCGCAGAGATGGGCAGTGTATTGCAGGGACCCACAGCCAGATCAAAACAAGATGCCTGGCAAAGGAGGAATGAGACATTGAGAAGCTAGAGAAATAAATGTAAATGCACTGGGGGGAGGGCTCCCAGACACAAGGACATTTTATAAAACCTCCCTACTGCTATTTCAGGGGTTGGGACTATGGTGAAGTTCCCGATAACAGAAAAGCTGCAAATCAGAATTGGGGCTAACAAAAGATGTAAAGTTTTGAGTGAAACATGGGAGGAAACAAACAGATGTTTTAGAAGCAGTTTCCCTAGGAACGGAAAATAGCAAGAATGGATGTGTATCACCCTGACGCACACCCTTAGAGGAGATGAAATATCACCTTCAAAAAGCATTAACAGCCACATCCTTAGAGTCCTCATGCATGAACTTTTCTAGAGAAAGCAACTAATGCTGCAGTACCCACCAATCACACGCTGAGAACTCATTCTCAGTAGCACATTCTCACGCTTCAAAGTTCTTGTAAAGCGTGCAGCTCCAGTCCCCTGTAGATTTCCCTGGTGCAACGGGAATCCCCAGGTGGAATAGAGCCTGCACAGTAACTTTGTGCCACACCCTCAAATCGAGGTTGGGGGCGGGGAAAGGAGCTGGAGCAGGAGGTGGCAACCCTAGGGGAAAGGGTGTGTAGCTGGGGCATCACTATACCTGGCAATCCCCAGCTGCAGGAGCAGATCCTTGGGGTTGTGGACAGCCAGGCATAAATTAGAGCAGTGCTCAAATTTGTACCAAGGCATGGGACTGGTCAGACCAAACGGAAGGAACTTAAAAATGGCTTGAAGTTGGAGGGACGGGGGGTGGCAGGCGTTCTGTGCCAAGCACAGCTCAGACAGACCAGAGGATCTGAACCATTATCTGATGTCTCAGAGGATGGCACTGCCCACCCACGCACCTACCAAATTGCACAATGTGACTATCACAAGTTGATCATTTGCCATTAATCTCCTTGTGTGTTCATTGTATAAACAAACATCTCGGATATGCTTAATGAGGTCAGAGTCCAGCAAGCACGTGCTACTGAGAACTTGTTCAGTGAGTGTTAATGTTAGGTTTGGCAACGAGACAACTTGCTAAAAGGCAAGGTCTAAAGATGTGGCTGTTATGATATTTGATTTCCTCCTAGGATATTGCTTCTGGATGTTCAGACATATCCTACAAGTCGAGTGAAGTTTGCATTTGATCTCTAGAGTGCTGAAAGGCACGATAAGACCTACCTCACAATGCATCAAAATCATGACATATCGGTAAATCTCAGCCCAGTTTCGGATGCCTGGGGGGAAAAATTGAGAATATGTGCTTGAAAGATCACCTTTATTGAGCACTTTAAGTACAAGCATTTATATAAAGGTATCGTATTTGGCTTCCTTATCTTTAGCCAGAGAAATACTCTACCAGGCAATCACGTACTAAGTTTATAAAAATGCCTGTAGGTAGAAATATCAATGAAACTGTTCTTATTAAGGTTTAATTTTAGACCTGACTAATGTTAATTAGCTGCAATAATAGCTAGTGGCCAAACATTCCCCTTTAACCTGTTCAAGGCCCCAGGCTAGCAAACAGGGCTATATGGCTGTAGGAATCTGCCTGCCCAGGGTAGTGGCATGACCAGGGCTGCCCAGAGGATTCAGGGGGCCTGGGGTCTTCGGCGGCAGGGGGCCCCCACCGCCGAATTGCCACCGAAGACCCAGCACTTCGGCGGCGGGTCCCAGGGCAGAAGGACCCCCCGCCGCCGAACTGCTGCTGAAGACCCGGAGCGGAAGAATTGCCCCATTTGCCCCCACCTTTGGGCGACCATGGGCATGACCCCCACAGGATAGACTCTTCTTTGCTGTAACTAGGAAAGCTCTTTAGAACTAATTCAAATACTTAACTGTGTTAAAAGAACAGGAGTACTTGTGGCACCTTAGAGACTAACAAATTTATTAGAGCATAAGCTTTCGTGGACTACAGCCCACTTCTTCGGATGCATATCTGCTACTCTGTTAACTGTGTTAGTATCAGCAGGCTAGCATAGCACCCTTACTCTGTACTGACCTAACCAACCCTGGGGACAGGCCTGCAGCTATGGTAAGGGTTTTCATGGCTCCTAAATCCCTTTCCCCGTTGTGCAGGAACCACAGAGGCTAATGCTGCCTAGAGGAAGCAGACGCCCTCGCTGAAGTGGAGGGAGGTAGGGAGGCCTGTGAATCGGGGGGGCTCAGAGTGAGCTCTCCACAAACAACACCTGTGTGGGGGGAGGTTGCAGGGCCTTATGTACCCCACTCACGGCCCCTCCATTCCATGCGCACACACTGCTTACATGCAAGGCTGGAAGGAATCTTCAACCCTAGTGGGCCCCTTAGCCAGACATTAACACCATTTCAGAGCTGTCAGCTGGCTCCGACTGTGGGGTTGGACAAAGAATGAGTCTTCAGTCTCTTAGATTGTCTCTCAGCCATATGGGCCATGGAGAGGGATGAAGTTCTAGGCACTCCTTCTGCTAGAGGAATGTGGCTGGGTGATCACAAGACAGCGTGTTCTTCCAGCACAAGCTTTGTTTGGCATTTAAAGTGAGAAAGCATGAATGAGCTTGCAGTGGGAAGATTCTGATCATTGCATATCATAAATTCAGCTGCAAAACGTTTTTTTGTTAAACAATTTTAGATCTAATCATGAAACAGATCATTTTATGAGTCACACTTAAGAGTGATCATGCCGCAATACTTAATAGCCAAAGTGATAACCTCTAAGTTGTTACGTAATTGAATCGTTCAGGATATTGTTACCATAAGAGTGGCTCCGAACACCTCTCAGAGAGACCTCTTTCTTCCCATGACCTTCAATTTCAATTTCTCCTATAGACTGGCCCCATTGTTCATAACGAGAATGTTTTTCCCCATCTCTGGAAACAAAGGGGGTGGGGGGAAGATCATGCAGTTAAGAAACAAAGCTTCTTATTCAAACACATTCCCCAAACCCCAGTCAGAAAAGGGTTAATTCTGTTATGAAAGACACACAGATTTCAGAACATCTGGATCCCAGCTGCAAGTTGTCAGATATATTTTTGAGTTTTAAGAATATTGCTACGAACTGTTTAGCCTGTAAACAGGTTAGACAAAAAGACACCCTGAGGCTATAAGACGTTCTTCCCCTCCTAAAATAATTGCCCTCTTTTTTCCCTACAAAAGCGACAGTTCAGTAGTTGCCACTTAAAAGTCAGCATACGTCAACAACGATCTCACTGTTTTTCCCTGTACTTAGAATAAGAGAGACAGTTTTCTTAGGCCTATTCTTCTCTGCCTCATCAGCTATGTCTACGGTGCGAGCGAGGGTTGTGATTCCCCTGCTCATGTACACGTGCATGGGTATAAATACTGTGTAGCCACAGTAGCATGGATAGCAGCAGCGGCGGCACGGCTGAGCAAAGCACCAGTTTCAGGCAAGTTTGTACTTGGCACGGCTCAGCCATGCTCCCATGACTACATTGCTATTTATACTCTTCAGAGCTAGGGCGAGTGTGTGCACCCGAGCAGGCGAATCACACCCCCTAGCTCACAGTGTAGACATTGTCTCGGTGTAATGGTGTAGTAATATACGCCTGCACCAAGTGGGTGTAAAACGCTGCCATGTCAGAAGAGACAGAGTAGCATTTTTTACTCATTTCACAGACACACACTTGCCTACACCAGGTGCCAGGCAGTCGAAAAAAAGGGTCAAATCAGGATCAGAATCCCACTGTGCTAAATGTTGTAAAAAACACCAAGAATGAAATGGTCCCTGCCCCAAAGAACTTGCTGCTGAAGGCCCTGTTCTTACAAAGGGCAGATCCTGCACTCACATGAAGCCCCACTAAAGCCAATGGGATCCCAGGTGAGTGAGGTGCCTGCACAGAATGCATGCCAGGATCGGGGTCTAAATTATGTGCATAGCAACTGTTGGCAAATACTGTCTCCTTACTGGTGACTACCGTATTTTACAATAAAAATGTACCTTATGTATTCATCTAGGCCAGGAGGTAGCTGTGAGGAGCAAAGTTCTTTAATGTACGGATTTAAATTAAATTATTCTTATAAAATAATAAAAAATACACACAACCTTCAGAACAACGGCAGAAACGTACACAGACGTTGACTGTATCTGATCAGCTTTATTATGAATTGTTCTGCAGCAAAACTAGCTGGCAATACTAGCCGGGCTAGTAAAACAAAAGTTACCATCAACCCCAGAAGAGTTAAAACTGTCTCTCACTCTTTGACTCTCCGGAAGAACTCTGCACTCCACTTTTCCAAAGCAAAGGCATGTGCAAACACTTTAGGGTGACTGTCAAGGTTAAAGTCGAATAGATCTGAAAAGGAAGTCCAGCTACAAAAGAAGAGAAAGCAAAATCTCATCAGTGTTCAGTTTGTATTGCGTCAAACCCTGCAATCATGACTCAGACAAAGCTTCGGTTTGTCTGCAGGATTTGTGCCTTCGTATTTCTCATGCTTGGAATCATCCGATTTTTCCAATATTTCTAGATATTACAGTTCTCTAGGGAAATGAACAAGGGATCAATGGAGCAACCATGAGGCAAAGATGCAATTATTGCATAGCAGCACAGGACATGTCAGCTAATTACTCGTCAAGTTGGATTGGCAGTGGGGATAGCACACGATTCTAATCTGCAATACTGCTGCCTGGTTTTCTCTCATTGTGATCTATTGTAACTTACACGCTCCATGTTGTAGCACAAATGCCATGTACTTTGGTCAGCAGAATATTTATTTGGATGGAAAGTGAGTAGCCACACCCTATAGATCAGGAGGAGTAGGGAACCACAAATCAAACACAGGCCAACTCTACACTACAAAAAGCCATGATGTCTGGGCTATGAAGACATATGATTGACATGTATGTGCTGGCAAAAGTCCATAGTGAAGATACAGTTATATCTGCCTATAGTTTCTATGCTGTTGTCACTTCCTAGCAGCATATCAGAGCAGGCAGACAGTTACATGAAGAGTTGGCTCTGTGCACTATTTGCATGCACGTATAATCAAAGTCAGGGCCGGCTCCAGGCACCAGCCCAGCAATGCTTGGGGCGGCCAAAGGGAAGGGCCGGCACGTTGGGCTGTTCAGCGGCAATTCGGCGGCAGGTCCCTCTCGGAGGGAAGCACCTGCCGCTGAAGAAGAAAGCGGCGTGGTGGAGCTGCCGCCGGAGTGCCGCCGATCGCAATTGCAATCGCGGCTTTTTTTTTTTGCTAGGGGCGGCAAAAACCCTGGAGCCAGTGCTGATCAAAGTACTCTGGAGAATACAGCCCTTAGAAAAAAATTGTTCTGAAAATATAATCTTAATTAGGGTGACCAGACAGCAAGTGTGAAAAATTGTGAAAAATTGGGACGGGGTGGGGGGTAATAGGCACCTATATAAGAAAAAGCCCCAAATATCAGGACTGTCCCTATAAAATCAGGACATCTGGTCACCCTAATCTTAATAAACTAAAAAAATTCTAAATATTACTCAAGATCATTTTTAATAAGCTTGATTTTTCCCAGTTTACAGATTGCTTAAGGGAGATGGAAAGTTGTGGGTTTTTTTAAGGGATACTATAAAAATGCACTTCTAATTCTAGATTAAAACATTCCATACCCCACCAGTTTTGACCCTTGCTATGATGCAGACATTGGATTTGTTTCTTACACAATCCATCACGGAGCTGCTCAGTTTAATTCCTTGTGTATATATTTCTGTCATTGATGCAATGCGTCAAATCCCGCCCTTGGATATGCATGCAAAATTCCAAGTCCATAGATAGGCAAAAGCAGACTGTGGCTCTGTGTTAGTTAGCTTGTATTCTCTTTCCTAACTAGATGATTATAGCCACAACAGCCTTACTATAAACCAGGGGTCGGCAACGTTTGGCACGCGGCTCGCCAGGGTAAGCACCCTAGCGGGCCGGGCCAGTTTATTTACCTGCTGACGTGACAGGTTCGGCCGATCGCGGCCCCCACTCACCACGGTTCGCCGTCCCAGGCCAATGGGGGCGGCGGGAAGCAGCGTGGGCGAGGGATGTGCTGGCTGCGGCTTCCTGCCGCCCCCATTGGCCCGGGACGGCGAACCGTGGCCAGTGGGGCCCGCGATCGGCCGAACCTGCCACGTCAGCAGGTAAATAAACTGGCCCGGCCCACCAGGGTGCTTACCTGGCAAACCGCGTGCCAAACGTTGCCGACCCCTGCTATAAACTATGGTTGTTCATTACTCTTTTTTTTTTACCCACCACTTTTGCACAAATACAGAAAATATATGAATAGTGGCACTTAGATGCCCTATGAGACTATACAACTTTTTTAAGAAGCCCTAACTTTGACAATTAAGCATATGGCAGCTTTCCTTTAAATTAAAAGTTCCAAAATATAAGTAAAGTTTTTGCTGTAGTGAGTTAATAAAATGATAAATCACTTAACAGAACACTCAGGCAACGATTAGGTAATAGATTTGTATTTATCAGGCCAATCCTCAATAAATTATTTTAGTAATTTAAACGGGAATTTTTTTTATACATACAGGAGAATATTCACCCTGAGTTCAAGGACAAAAAACAAGGTCCGTGCACAACTTAAGCAGAATTAGAATGGGTCAAGATCTGGCCCACAACTTATTATTTGTACTCTTACAAAAAAAAATGGATGCATGCATCAAACTGCCATGCTCTTACTGGAAAGAGAATTTAACGTGGACAAGTTCGCCCTCCTCTTCATTCCACTGATGCCGATACGGTCCTTTTCTGGAAGATCAGACGTGTTGTTATCTTTCCTTGTTTCTGTATCAGCAGCAGCATTTACCAACATTCCTTACATTTTTTTTCACTTCTCCCTTTTCATTTACTGAGCTGTTGTGTAATTCATATGCTTTTATATCACAACATTTAATTAGTTTAAGTCCAACGAACGGGAAAGCAACAATGGAGAGGGAAGAAGGGCTTTGTTAAAATCACCTGTTTCTGTACGTGGGCAGGGCAGGCAAACCAGAAAAATCTGAAGATAAGAGTTGTAAGTACTAAGCATGCTTGATAGCTTTCGTGAAGCCAACATAGGTAGCCAACTTTTATAGGCTGACACTTCTGCAAGTCATATCCTCATTGTGAGAGCTGAGCCAATCTGATCTTGTGGAGGATGGAGAATTATTTTATATAGTTGCTACAAGATGTTCTCAGGGGACTTGGCTAAATGATAGTGCAAAGCCAAATATGTGTCTGGTGTTGTGGCTTGGAGTAAAATTTTCAAGAGCCCCTAAGTGACTTAGGAGCCTTAGCTCCATTTTCAAAAGTGATTTAGGTGTGTAGTCCATGAAAGTCAGACTCCTAGGCCCAGATCCTCACAGCTATTTGGGGGCCTAAAAATGCAAATAGGCAACTAACATGCTCAAGTGCATTTGTAAATTCCAGTAGGGGTCTAGCTACATCTTGAGGCACCTAAACACCCTGTGAAAACACCTCCAGGAGCCTACATCTCTTTCTAAAATGGAAGTCACTTACACACTTTTGAACATTTCAGCCATAGCTTCAAAACCTGTAACATTTTAGCTACAGATTTCCCATCTGAAACACAATCTCGAGAGAGCAAGTCATGTGTCAACAAAGGACTGAGTACGGCTAGCAGAAGGATCTCCCCCAGACCACATTTTTTTCTGTTTCCTGGCTAGGCAGAAGTGTTTGGATATGGACAAGATAAGAAAAACTTCAGTTCTTGGTGTTGCCTGAAATTTTTATCATTGACACTGTACATTTTAGATCACACCAGAAGTTATCTCTGAAGAAGATCAGAGGGGAAAGAATGAGTGTATGTGTGCTAAAGTAAAATGTCAATGTTAGGCTGAAACCCTTCATTGTGATGCAGATGTTACAAACTCTCCTTGCAAGATATCAACAACAGAGTTTGTTAAAGTTGGTATCAGAAGACTACACTGCTAGACTTATTACCTAATAGAAAATTATTTAAATATATTTCCAAGTACTGGTTAAAATGCTTGAGCTGTTTGTATTAAGCTACTGCGTGGCATGGTGCTGTCTTCGAGTAGGATTTGAAGGTGATAATAAGAAATGGAATTCACTGTTTCGAACTCTGTGTTATGCTTTCTAAATTACCCTGATCAGACAGCACTCTAGCTTGTGCTTCAGCAGAATTTAGCTGAGGCTCAGGGAAAAGGCTACTGTAAGTGTTGGTACACAACCTGTCCTGAAACCTTTTTTGTAGTTGCATGATTCATCCCATGTAACCATTCTAACTAAACAGATCTAGGTCCTGTTGTGCAGGGCACTCTCTGGCCACGTAAGTAACTTACCTAAATAGATAATACAGACAAAAGGCGGTAAAAAACGATGCACTATCATCATCCCTATTTTACAGATGGGAACTGAGGCAGAAAGAGAGGAAATGACTTTTCTAAGGTGACACAGCAAGTCTCTGGTAGATCTGAGAACTGACCCAGTTTTCCTGAGTCAGAGTTCAGTGTCTTAGCAATCCTCTCCCCCCCAGAGGTGATATGATAATACCTGAGTCGTCCATTGAATTTTATTTTCCAGCGTCTGTATGGCTCTAAGCACTCAATCATCAGCCCACTGCCACGCCAGCATTTTTCCGATTCATCACTCACCAGCATGTCCGGATGTACTGGGTGCTAAGAGACAATTCAGTAAAACATTCATTGAAGTAAAGTGTGGGGGTAAGGCAGAGGTGGGGTCATAATTTATTCATCTGTTGTGGGAGGAACATTGACAGCGATAGCTCTTTGATTCCACATATTTCACAGAGGAAAAAACTGCATGTAAAACACCCGAGTTGATGAATATCAAGTAATTACTGCAGACAGCACAAGGGTAAATGGAATGAAATCATTAATTACTATTCTAGGACCTCATGATGCAAACACTGTCAAGAGTAACCGCAGGGCCGGTGCTACCATTAAGGTGAACTAGGCGGTTGCCTAGGGCGCCAAGATAGAGTGGGGGGAGCTGCCGCAGGGCGGGCCCCTCAGGGCGGAGGGGGAGCGGGGAGCTGCCGCAGGGCTGGGGGGAGCGCAAGGTGGAAGTTTTGCCTAGGGCGTGAAATTTCCTTGCACCGGCCCTGAGTAACCGTTACTACCACACTGTTCTTAGGGTTTGTCTACATGGGAAAATTGACCAGTGTGATTATACCAGGATAAAACCACTTTTATTCCATCAACCATCCATCCATCCATCCATCATTATTCCTATCATTCTGCCAGTCAATTTCCCTATATAGACTTCAATGGACTGCTCACAGTTGTAAACTTAATGGAGGAAATCCCTGGCCCCATTGAAGTCAATGGCAAAATAATAATACCTAGCTTTTGTATAGCGCTTTTCACCACTGGATCTCAAAGAATGTTACAAAAAACTCCTATTGATGTCAATGGAGAGATGATTTCACCCTATGCAGTTATTCTGCACAACTTTTTAAATGTAAACTGCATTATGAAATTTGTGAACAGTAAAAAGGTCAAATCCACGAAAGACATTAGTTTAAACAGCTCTCACTAATCCCAAATCACACACTACTTC